TATATATGAAATGCTTATGCAATATGTACGAATATACAGAATATATAGGAATATACAGGATCATAGAACAAATATACATATATACATATAAAAAATATCCAATTTTATATACATAGCATATTATATACATACATGTATATGTAATATACATAAGTGTATACATGTATATGTGTAATATAGCATGGTGTTTTTACATCATTATGCATTTACAACGAATATATACCATGGTCAACGAATATATACATATACATAATATGTTGTAAGAGAAAATTTGTATCTGTTGCATTACACAGATACATAAGCATAAGTTATAAGGATATCGCCATAAGTCGTTCGCATAATCAGTTCCTGTTTGATCAGTGAAGTCAAACATCGATGACTACATAAAAGGATGAGTGCCGCGCACGGATAGATGAAATTTCACAAATAAAAAATAGTGAAAATAGTGTACATAAAATGTTGAACGTGTGCATACATATATATAAACAATGTATATGATTAACTTATAATATATGTATATTCATTTTATTAATTTTTGAATATATATATGTATGTGTTACGTATATCTGAAGAATGTACAGAATGAGTATATATATATATATATATATATATATATATATATATATATGTTATGTTAAAGAGATACATTCTACGTATATATGTACATGCGTGAAACATTTAATGTACATTATGTCAATAATATTTGCACATATATTTGATATAGATTATATACATATACAATGTATCACAAGTATATATTCGGTTACTAAACGGTGGTCACACATTTTTCCGAATGAAATATATAATTGAATAGCTGAATTTAAACGTAATCAATTCAATCATGAATGATGAACAATGTTTAGATCATCCAAAAATGATTAACAAATCTAATAATAACAAATCTAAAAAAATTTATATCAAGTTAAAAGATTGCAGAATAAACATGTGTGAATAAACATGTGAAATTGTTGAGATTGTAGACATTTTAACTGAAAGAGTTTACAACATGTTACAACACGTTCTAAAAAATTTAGATGTGATAAAGCTATCCGCATGATAGTTTTTGTCTTTTCCTAATGTTTAGTTAATTATTAAGTAATTATTTATTTGGTTAA